GTAAGGAAAGTGTGGTAATATACTGTGTGTGTGTGTGTGTGTGTGTGTGTAATTTTTTAAAATCCAAACTATCTCGTTAAGTGTAAAATACTTAATAGACCCTTTCTTTATCACAAAAGAATTAATAGGGTCAATAAAAACAACAGCTTTCACGCAGTGGAAGGCCACTGAACAGGATGGCTTTAGTGTTCTCAGCTTGGCTAACCATAGACAGGCTTTTCTCCGACTTTAGGCCCCGAGCTCCCTTCTGTCAGAGTATCAGCTTTAGGAAAGATAATTATACATTCTTTCTCTGCCCCTTTGAGATGTGAATATTTTTAAATGCCTCTTGTGAGTTTTACAACCCAGGAAGGTTTTTCTCAAGAACCTGGGAATCATCTCTCTGACTTGCGTCTGAGCAAGGGAGCACCTTCAAAAGGAGTCACTCGCACACGTGAGTGCCTTTCCACAATGCCAGGTGTATTAGGGGAGACTCCCCAATAAGCCAGTAGAGTCACATGCACATTACATACAGAGAGGGGCAGTTTACATGATGGAAGTGAGCAGGGCAGATGTTCAGTGCGATGCCCTGGTCACTGGCAGTGGCTCAGGTCTCCGGAGAGGCGGGCGTCCATCTGAAGCCAGGCGGCTGCAGTGGAGCATGTGTCTGCTGGAGTGGAAGTCCAGCAGGTGACCTGCGGGACAGCAAGCACCAGCACTGGGTGGTCAGAGCTCTCAGTTATCATCGCCATGGAGGTCGCATGCATATTGGTATCCAGGTGAAGACCTTACCCGAGTGTCCACATTTGTGGTTTTGGGCATTCTGGCCCCCTTCCCAGGGCATTCCTGTGACACCCCAGACTTTTAAAAATATATATGTTGTTTATTGATTTCAGAGAGGAAGGGAGAGGGAGAGGGAGAGAGAAACATCAACGATAAAAGAGAATCATTGATCAGTTGCCTCCTGCACGCCCCACACTGGGGAGCGAGTTGGCAATCTGGGTGTGTGCCCTGACCGGGAATCACACCATAGCCTCCTTGTTCATAGAGCCCTTACGTTCAACCACTGAGCCATGCCGGCTGGGTTCTTTTTTTCTTCTTCTAAGGAGACCAGTCATATTGGAACAAGGGACCACAATTTTAGAAATTAAGGGGACCATGGAAGAAGCACAGGGCTGCAGAGCAGCAGAAGGTATATTTCAATAGAATAGGGGAGCTGAAAAGTTGCAACAGATATGTCTCCATAGAATGAGGGAGCTGGAAACAGCAAAAAGGTCTATATTTACAAAATAAAGAGAAGGAAGTCCTTCCAGAAGGAGAGGAAAGCCCAGGGGGAACAGGAAAACAATAAGGAAATAAGGGGATTTGGGGGGGGGGGGGGAAAGAACCTCACATGTCCCATGTGAGATTTGATCTTTGAGTTCAGAAGTTACTATAATAACCAGTCTAAGGGAATAGTGACCAATCAGAGGGGATATCAAGGCACCAAGATCTACAGCTTTTTCTAGTATAAACCAAGGAAACAGGGACTCAGTGGGACTCTTCCCTCTCCCCACATGGGAGTCTGTACTTGTTCTTCAGTAAATTTCCACCTTTACTATACCATCTGGTCTAACTTTTGATAATCCTATCTAATAAAAGAGTAAATTGACTATCAGTCTAACACACAAGATGGCTGCCCCATGTGGTCAAAGATGGCTGCCCCCATGTGGACACAAGATGGCCACCACAAGATGGCTGGCAGGGGAGGGAAGTTGAGGGCGATCAGGCCTGCAGGGGAGGACAGTTAGGGGAAACCAGGCTGGCAGGGGAAGGCAGTTAGGGATCACTAGGCTATCAGGGGAGGGCAGTTGGGGGTGACCAGGCTGATAGGGGAGGGCAGTTATGGGCAATCAGGCTAGCAGCGGAGCAATTAGGTGTCGATCAGGCTGGCGGGGGAGTGGTTAGGGCAGGTGTGGGCAACCTGCGGCTCCGGAGCGGCATGCGGCTCTATTTGTTAAGTGAAAAAATCCTTTTTCTGCACGATCCGGTATACAGCATTAAGGTAAGAAACAATATATGCAGTGTTATATTTGTTTTAAATGTCGCAATGGTTTTGCGGCTCCCAGGTTTTTTTTTCCTTCGAAAACAGGTCCAAGTGGCTCTTTATATCTGAAAGGTTGCCAACCCCTGGGTTAGGGGGTAATCAGGCAGACAGGTAGGCAAGTGGGTAGGAGCCAGCAGTCCTGGATTGTGAGAGGGATGTCCGACTGCCGGTTTAGGCCCAATCCTGAGATTGGGCCTAAACGGGCAGTCGGACATCCCTCAAGGGGTCCCAGTTTGGAGAGGGTGCAGGCTGGGCTGAGGAACACCTCCCCGACCCAAGCACAAATTTCATGCACCAGGCCACTAGTCAATTATAACAAAAAATAGGAAGGTGGAAGGTCTGTGATCTTATCAGCAGATTTGTCACAAATAAACAGAGGTGTCAACCCTGAGAATTATGGGTGTCATGAGAGGGTGGACAGTGAGTTCTAAGTCTTATAGGGAAGGGTATTTCTTTAAATTATTTCCTACAGCACAAAGGATTTCTGGAAACAAAAGGTTGGGGAGGTGTTCTTTATCATCACTGCTCTCCAGAAGCGCAGGGCTCAGGTGCAGTTCACACCATCAGTAGGCAAGAGGAAGAAGGATCTGTGTACAGTGGGGCACATGCTGTCCTCCCCTACTAGTTAGTTACTTTTTAGAAATGGTTTATCCAACTCTGAAACATGAATCCTCCTGTTGTGGGACACTGCTGCCCCCAAGTGGTAGTACTTATGTAGTAACTGCCAAACCTTAGACTGGAAAAGAAACTACATCTTTTTTCAGACGCCTGTAGGCTGTGTGTACCCTCGGAGTGTGCAAGAAAAGCTGCTGGATGCTGGAAGAAAATACCATAATTCCTACTTTATTTTACTTTTATTGAAAAATGCAAGCAAGAATTGAAACTTTATATATATATATATATATATATATATTTTTTTTTTTATATACTTAAGATATATTTTATTGATTTTTCACAGAGGAAGAGAGAGGAAAAGAAAGTTAGAAACATCGGCGGGACCGGTTTGGCTCAGTGGATAGAGCGTCGGCTTGGGGACTGAAGGGTCCCAGGTTCGATTCCGGTCAAGGGCATGTATTAATACCTTGGTTGCGGGCATATCCCCAGTAGGGGGTGTGCAAGAGGCAGCTGATCGACGACTCTTTCTCATCAATGTTTCTAACTCTCTATTTCTCTCCTTTCCTCTCTGTATAAAATCAATAAAAAATATATTAAAAAAAAAAAAAGAAAGTTAGAAACATTGATGAGAGAAAATCATTAATCAGCTACCTCCTGCACAACCCCTACTGGGGATGTGCGCGCAACCAACGTACATGCCCTTGACTGGAATCGAACCCGGAACCTTTCAGTCTGCAGACCGACGCTCTATCCACTGAGTCAAACTGATTTCGGCAAAACTTTATTGATATTTATCATACTGTCAATTTGCACTGGGTTCTTTACTCTGAACCTGCCACACATCACCTGCACAGAGAAGAGTAGAAGCTTCACAGGCTGGCAGAGTTCCTCTCTGGACCGCTTCATAGTGTAGTAACATATTCCAGATCGTGGGTGGTTGGTTAAATGCAGATAATATTACCTATTTTCAACTAAAACTACCTTTACACAGTGGACAGGAGGCATTAGAGGACTCCTACAGAGAAACTGCTGGTTTAGAAAATAACCCTAAGAGGGCATGAACCAGCAAACAGTAAGCCATGCGTCATTGTCAAGTATTCTTCAGTAGAAGTTTTTTTTTAATCAGCTACTTGACAAGAAAAAACACACACACACACAAAAAAACCCCAAAACAACCCCCCCCCCCAAATCTAACTTGTTTTACTAGAGGTTGGTCAAAACATTCAAAATTGTCAACACTGTTTTGCCAAGACCTTCGTGGTGGGTTCAGGATCTGAAGGAGGGGCTGATGCACAAATGAAAATGCTATAGAAGAAATATGAATTTAGAAGGCATTTGGGACCAGGTGGAGCCTTTTTTTTTTTTTTTTTTAGAGAGTTAGAGAGTTAGAAACATCGATGAGAGAGAGACATCGATCAGCTGCCTCTTGCACACCCTACTGGGGATATGCCCGCAACCAAGGTACATGCCCTTGACCAGAATCAAACCTGGGACCCTTCAGTTCCCAAGCTCTATCCATTAAGAAAACCGGTCTCGGCGGAGCCTCTTTCTTGAAGTGACACCCTGACTTCTGGTCTGGTCTGCTATTTATTTACTTGAATACACATTTTCCCGTTAGCAATGCATACAGGCATATCAAAGGTAAAGTTCGGTAAACAGTAAGAGAATTATCAGGTTAGGGAATTGTCTTGAGTCACCACTATATCTCAACATCGGGTGCTTAGCGTCACGTCAGCCTTGTGAATGCCCAAGGTCATTGGCCTTCTGAGTTCCTTGGCGCACTGACAGTATTGGCAAGCAGTGGCTTCCCACACTGTTTGAAATATGGATTCCGTTTAATTATTGTCAATATAAGCCTCACCCCAATTGCTGTGTAGGAAGAGGTTTCATGAGATAACTATTTTATTGCAGCCACTTGCCCACTAATATTTGAAATAAATTGAACTTAGATCCAGTTCTTTACATCACTATTTCATAGTTTTAACTCAGCCTTCTCAAAATTCATGAAATGCAGCACGTACAGTTCCTGGTCCTCTCCCTATTGTATTGGGACAGACCTGTGACCAGCATCTATGTACAGGTATGAGATACGTTAAAGAATAATTTTCAAAAAGATGAACTCATGACTTTCTGGCAAACATCAAATGAACATGTATCAAAGATGTTACTTAACTAATTGATTAAGTAAATGGATGAACCAGTGAAGATGTTATGACCAATTCAATGCTTTAAGAAGCAAAGATATTTATTGCATAAGACTTATAGGATGCACTACTGATTAATATCCAGTTAGCCACACTTAAAAAAAAAAAAAATATATATATATATAGAACACTTCATAAATTTTCTATCATCCTTGTGCAGGGCTGTGCTAATCTTCTCTGTATCGTTCCAATTTTAGTATAGGTGCTGCCAAAGCGAGCACTAGCCACACATCTTTGTATGAAAGTTATTTGCATCTCTGCCAGATTCTGTTCACCAACAAGTTATCTGCATCTCTTCCAGTCAAAAATCTCTGAAACCCAACAACCAATGGTTTCCGGCTGCCTATCACTACTTGAGCCAATTAAGCAGAGTCAGTATTGAGTCATATGTAAGTGTTTATTCCAATAATTCTAGCAGTATGGGAGGGCAGCAGGTCATATACAAAAATCTGCTCTAGCCGAAACCGGTTTAGTCAGTGGATAGAGCATCAGTCTGTGGACTGAAGGCTCCCGTGTTCGATTCCGGTCAAAGGCATGTACCTTAGCTGCAGGCACATCTCTGGTAGGTGGTGTGCAATGTTGGGAGCCATCAGAGTTGAGACAAGCAACTCCGTCTTAAGGAAATAGAATTAAGTTCCTTCTAGCAGAAGTTATGCGGTGCCCCGAGGGTTTGGCCAGAAGCTAAAAGATTAACCTGCCGCTTAGCATCTCTGCAACTTCCCCTTCCTGATCCTCCCCCATAGCTAGCCCAGCCTTGGAATGTTACACCTTGGAATGTTACACCGCCCTGGCAGTTAGCCAATCCTGTGTTGCCAGATACCTTAGCACCTTGCCACTCAGTGCCAAAACCTATTATACACTGCCAAAGACCCCTCTGCGTAGGCAACCCTGCCCCCCTTTGTTCCTGCTGTATATATACTACCATTTCAAAAAATAAAGTTTGAGGCTTGATCAGAACCTTGTCTTGCCTCCATTCTTCCGAGTTCCTTGTTTGTTTCATTCTCTTAGGTGGTTCCTGCGAACCCTTGTTGTTGCCCTGTGGGTCGGGGCAGTGCAAGAGGCAGCTGGTTGATGTTTCTCTCTCATCGACGTTTCTAGCTCTCTATCACTCTTCCTTCCTCTCTGTAAAAAATAAAAAAATATATATATTTAAAAAAATCTGCTCTACCTTCCTTATAAACCAGCTGCTTATATTGGATAGAAGGACAAAGATTACATGGGAAAGTAAGATTACAAGCCTGGGGAAGCAGACAAGGTACAAGGGCTACAGGTTACAGGTATTGTGGGTTGGGGGTCATAAAGGGTTGGCAAAGGGCAGATGCCTCTGAGACTAGATTGTTTCAGCAACAAGGATGTTAATCTTTCTATAATGATAGGCAGTTCCCGGAAAAGGAGGATGGACTGCACTCCGATGTTGGCTCCCAAGTCCAGGTGTGAATAACTCTCAGCCAGGTTAGAATGTGGTTTCTCTAGTCAGAACAGAACAATCATGGTTAACAGAGCAGGTTTAATATTTCTTATAACAATAGCTAGTCCCCATTGTTCTATTTCTGCTCCTAACTTTACTAGAGGGAGAAATTTGAATTGACTTTGGTTTTAGGAATACTACTTCAATGGACCCTTTCATTACAGAAAAGTAAAACCAAAGTCCCATTTTGGGATAGAAATGTCTCAGGCAATGGGTACATAGGCTGTTTTGCTCAGTATTGTGAAATATTGTTTCATCATGTACTTGCTTTCAGTAAAAATATGTTGTAAGAATCTTTATACAATGCACCTCTTGATAACATTATTTTCAAAAAAATCAATATGCTCAAAATGGAAGATACGAAAGTGGTAAAAAATTAATTATAAAAATATAGTTAATATGTAAATGTTTGACATGATCAGATTAGAAGGGATACTGAATGGTGTGCTGGTTGGGCCTCTATGTAGGCTGATGAGTGTGATGGTTACCAGTGCATCGGAAACAGTTACAGTATATTGTCACCAGACGGGACTGAGGCCTGCCGGTAGCATGTGGTTTCACAATGTAAGTCCAGGTGACGTTGAGAGGACGTTCATTTTTATTATTATTATTATTATTATTTAAATATATTTTATTGATTGATTTTACACAGAGAGGAATTGAGAGGGACAGAGAGTTAGAAACATCGATGAGAGAGAATCATCGATCAGCTGCCTCTTGCACACCACTCACTGGGGATGTACCCGCAACCAAGGTACATACCCTTGACCGCAATCGAACCCGGGACCTTTCAGTCCACAGGCCGACTGGATAGAGCATTGGCCTGCGGACTGAAAGGTCCCATGTTCAATTCCGGTCAAGGGTATGTACCTTGGTTGTGGGCACATCCCCAGTAGGAGGAGTGTAAGAGGCAGCTGATTGATGTTTCTCTCCCATCAGTGTTTCTAACTCTCTATCCTCTCCCTTCCTCTCTGTAAAAAATCAATAAAATATATTTGGAAAAAAAAAATCCTGAGCCAGGTAAAGCACAATCTTTCCCAGATTTGCACAGTGTATGCATTCCTGGAAAATTTAGTGTCTAGTAAAACCATGCAAAAATATTTTGCTTATATGTGAAACAAAATAAGGTTTAAGCTCAGATAATTTTAAACAGGTGTTTAAGCACCATAAATGAGTGGAGGGACAAAGTTCATGCTAGCTGAGGGACAGTGTTGCATTGTGAGACTCTTGTCACATGTAGTGTCCCAGTTCCCCACCTACTGAATGACAGTATTGCTCATACTAATACCTTCACTTCAAAATCCTAGTCCTTGGGACAATCAAAAAGACTTTAAAAGAATTTCCCTCCAGAGGGCAGTATAATTCCTATGGAGAATCACAGAACTAAGATGATCTGCCACAAATCAAATCAGTCCTTGCCTGTGGGGTTAGGGTAGGGCAGCATTATTTTATTGCCTGGAAGCTGGCTTGGGGTTGGAGTGAGTGGTAGGGACAAAGGAATATTTTTTCTTGTTAGCCCTCAGGGAAGTCTGGAGAACTGAGGCACTTAAGAAATGACTGAGGTAACATTTGACACCTTTCTCATACATTTTTAGTTTTCTTTCATTAATTTTCCCCACATAGAGAGCTAGAATGAAAATCCCCTCCCTGAGACTTTGCTGAAATCTCTCAAACAAGCAGCAGCTGGTGTCAGCATGCCCAAAACTTATCAATAAAAGGCCCAGGATCTGGCACTAGCACCAGCCTGCTTTGCTTCACAGCGGGGCCTCACCTGGGCACTTCGAAGCCCAATACAAGAAGCAGCCATCTGCAAATCTCTCAGTAGCTTTTGCTGGCTGGCCCCAGGCAGTGGCTGACTTTGCACTTTCCAAGAGGCCCCAGAGCCAGTGCTCCTGGTGGACGTTTCAGACCATACTAGATTACACCTCTACACATCCACAAGTGATACTCCAGGGGCAGACTCAGTAAGCACCAAAGCCCCACTGAAGGAAGTCCTGCTCCATATGAGGTATCTCCTGCACAGTAGCTCTTCCACTATAGTTAGTTACAGCTGGTCCTCACAGCCAGTTGACTTGGAGATTAATTCCTGTCAGTGATGCTTTGATTGTTCACACAGCCCACACAGGGGTGCATATAGAGTGCCCAGCTCAGTTAACAGGGGAGGCTGAGCCACTGGGCCCTATAGGACACGTACTACACAAGGCCACTCTACCAATTCCAGGAGATATAGCAGCTCTATCCAATACATAGCAGCTCTACCCAATACATAGAAATAAACACAGGGAAGCATTCAAAATGTGGAGACAAAGAAACATGTCACAAAGGAAAGAAATGGAAGCAAGCAAACTACTGGATACAGAGTTCAAAACAATAGCTATAAGGCTGCTCAAGGATCTTAATGAGAGCTTCAAGGGACTTAGTGAGACTTTCAAGGATCTTAATGAAAATTTCAAGGACATAAAGGACCAGTCAAAAAGTAAGCATACACTAATTGAAATAATGAATAATCTATAGGGATTCAACACTAGACTAGAGGACTCTGAGAATCAAATCAATGATTTGGAATCAGAGGAAGCAAGAAACACCAACCAGAAGAGCAAAAAGAAAAGGAATTAAAAAATATTCCTCTCACAATCTGGAACTGCTTGCTTTCAACCGCTCTCCTTCCTGCCTGCCTGCCTGATTGCCCCTAACTGCTTCTACCTGCCATTCAGTCGCCCCCAACTGTCCTCCCCTGCTGGCCTGGTTACCCCCAACTGCCCTCCCCTGCAGGCCTGGTCCCCAACAATTGCCCTCCCCTGCAGGCCCAGTCCCCAACAACTATCCTCTCCTGCAGGTCTGGACATCTCCAACTGCCTTCCCCTGCTGGCCAGATCACCCACAACTGCCCTCCTCTGCCAGCCATCTTGTGGTGGCCATCTTGTGATAACATGGGGGTGGCCATCTTGTGTGAGGTCAATTTGCATTTTACCTCTTTATTATATAGGATAACTTTTTAATATTTTAAGAGAGGAAGGGAGAGAAACATCATGATGAGAGAGAATCAATGACTGACTGCCTCCTGCACAATTCCTACCAGGGATTGAGCCTGCCTTGACCAGGAATCAAACCGTGACCTCCTGGTTCATAGGTTGATGCTCAAACACAGAGGAACACTGGCTGGGCAAGGCATTTTTGTATCTAATTTAGCAATCATATGCTGGCAATCTTTCCCCCTCTCTCCCAGGGATTATGCACAGGCACACCTCTCTTCATTGCACCTCATTTTCTTGCATGTCAGAAGTGCTGCATTGTTTTACAAACTGAAGGACCCTTTACCTGCAAAAAGATGACAATTCTCTTTATTGTGATACTCGCCTTATTGCAGTGGCTTGGAACTAAACCTTAGCATCTCTGAGGTATGCTGATATGTACCCAGTCTCTCAGATTCTCCTTTGAACCAGTTTTTCATCCAGCTGGTCCTCTTCATTAATGAGTTAAATAAACCTTTAACCAAACTTTTATATTTATATGAGAGTTATATTTTTAAGGTAAGTGGCCTAGGTATTCGTGCAACTTTTCTAAAGGTTTGGAATTTTTCAAGATAAAAAGTTGAGAACTATCAACTTTGATAGTTCTTTGATAGTTCTCAACTTTTTATCTTGAAAAATTCCAAACCTTTAGAAAAGTTGCACGAATACTTAGGCCACTTACCTAGATTCAATCATTACATTTTTATCACTTTTGCTTTAATTTCTCTCTCTTCCCCCCTCT